TCCTCTAATGTTTTAGTCCTTGTTTTCTTATATGAGGTAATTGCCATGATTTTCCCTCTTAAGAAGCTTTTAGAGTATCCCACAGAATGGGAGGTGATACCTCACCATTATCATTGAGTTCTAAATAAAGATTAATTTCTTATTTGATTTGTTCCTTGAAGCAGGGATCCTTAACCCTTGTGCTCTGTTCATGTAAAAAAACACCTGTTATATCTTGAGGTGGTACAAACTCCAGCACGCTTGTGTGTTTCAACTCTTTACTGAGTAACTGCACAACGGTACACCGTGAACACTCGTGTGACAAACAGACAGCTCAGAAGCCCTCGGAAACAGCATCCCCCAAACTTGTTCCCGCCCCAAGATGCCTAACTAAGGCTCCTAGCTCCCAATTCAACAGCCTCAAACTATAACACAGCCCTTCTGTTGTTATTCCAGCTTCTCTACCCTGTGTTGTCAAAGTACGGTCTGCAAATTAGCTCCGCCCACCACCTAGCCAAGGTTATAAGAAGGGTTTTTCAGTGCACACACTCACTTTGAATAGTACATGGGGGCACTCTGGGCAGCTAAAATTCTGAACCAGCAACTGCCAGAGTGAAGAGGTGGCGTCTTTTGCACAGAGAGTGGGACCAATAAAGAGCAACAACCAGGGTTAACATGGGTTTGGCTGTTTGACATGGAGAAGGTTAAAAGTAGCCAAAGGACTCAGGCTGGATTCAGATGTCATCAGACATTTAGATCCACACACAGTAATTAGCCCACAAAATAACACAAGAATGAGCTCATGAGCAGATACCCTGCACATGTCCCAAATAGGTTTCAGGCATTACTGACAGCAGGTGAACAGGCTACTCACACCAAGCTGCGCAGGGCAAAGGGAGTCGAGATGATCTTATTAGATCGGGTCATACATTTGAAACTACAGAGTAGATGTTGATCATGCAGTGAATGCCAGACACAGTGGCCTAATACCTGAGCAAGAAGGTTTCACCTTATGCCATTGCTTTGACGTTCTCCATCTTGTAACATCAAACTTCTACTGGTTTACGCTCCCACCCCTAGTTTCTACATTTACTCGTTAGTCAGCTAACACTAGCTTCAAAATGAAGGCTGCATTGAGTTTGGCCCAACTAGGCATCAGGTAGTTTACACTATGATGGGAGGGGCAAAGAGTGGTTAGGTGTGGATTATGCTGTCAGTTTGTGCTGAGTCTCACTAGACCCTGTAGGCTGAAAAGACTTTAGGGAGACAAGCTTTAAGGCTGAGGATCCCACACATGCTGCTGGCTGAGAAAGTTTAAACTGATGTGAGGAATCCCATGTCAACATACCCTCTGAGAGAGACATGCATTCAAGCCATAGTCGCAGAAAAGAAACAAAGACAGAGGTCTGTGTCT